CCTTCTACATCGTCATCCGACTACCTCCTCCCTTTTTCCTTCTATACTCTCTCCTTCCTATCCCTCCTGGCCCGGCCCTTTCCTACCCCTACCCTTCCTACCCCTGCCCTTCCTACCTCTGCCCTTCCTACTCCTGCCCTTCCTACCCATACCCTTCCTACCCATACCCTTCCTACCCATACCCTTTCTACCCCGGCCCTTCCTACCCCTACTCTTCCCTTTCCGCTCGATTCCTTTCCCCCTTTTTCAACACCCTCACCCTCCTGTCCCCTCTCCTTCGATAGCCTCCCTCACCCATTCCCTCTCCCTTCTTCCCCCTACTACTCCTACTTTATATCCTTCCAATCCCTGCTACTCGTCCACTACCCGCCTACACGGCCTTGGTTATTGCAGTTACCGGCCTGCATTAACTTGGTTTATTGCAGTTACCGGACTCAACATGGAATTTATTGAAGGATGCCAAACAAACGAGTGAACAGAACTGCAACAGTTTTTGAATATACATTCAGACCCCAATCACGGTTCTTTGAGCACATAGGTGGTCTCGAAACTCAAACGTAAGATCCCCAGTCTTGACGACTAAGAGTTCAAAATGTGACAGTACAGCATACACTATCGCACCGGGTATCTAGCCTTGTTAAATATTCGTTAAAACTGGAAATTACGTCAGGCATGGAACGAGCGCTGTGACGTAAGGACAGTGCAGTGCACTGCTAGAGGAGCATATTGTTTGGAAAGTGTTATCAAAAATTAGTTATTTTCAAACAAATATCCTACTTTACATGAGTATTCAATTTGGCATCTAAGTAAAAAGAAAAAAAATTGGTACCCATAGCTTTAGATAAAAATACACATAAATGGTATTGGTTTTATATTGAAATTCTATTCAAAATACTAATTTTTCAATGCACAGTGCATTTTAATTTCTTTAACCTAAGCTTTGATCATGGCTTCTTTAATATTTTCAGCATTATACCCTTCTTATTTCTTTACAAATCTTAAAAA